TTCCTTTCGATTTCAAGTTATGCCGTGAAATAGAAAATTGATCTATTCGAAAAACGTTATCTTTTAGTACCAATTATGCTTGCTCAACTTGCTTGATTTAAAAGATCTCAAATTGTAGGGTTTGTGTTCACACTAGAGTTCATGAAATTCATGATGAATCTTGATGTTTTTGAGGTTGTAGATTCATTTTCAAACTTGATTTATGATTAAAACACGTTCAAACTTCTTAGAAATGCTTCTATGATTTTCGGCTAAATGAAATAATTGTAGAACTTTTTGTTTTGATGAGAGTTGAATAAGGCTTTGATTGTAGAGATGTTGTAAGGTTGATTGGAAGTTGATTTCATTTTTGAATCGAATTAAAATCAAGCAAAATCATGAAAACCTAGTTTTAAAGGTTTAAAGCATTCGATCATGGTACGTTTGAGTAAGGAAAATTATGGAAAATTATGTCAGGGATGGAAATGATGTAGTAAGTATTCTACAAGCCTTATAAAAATTTTGGGACCATTTTGTAATTTTTGAAAAGTTAGGGGACCAATTTGATAATTTTGAAAAAGTTTTGAATGGTTGCATAATTGTTTAATAGTTGATGTATTATGCTGGAAATTACTGTTTTGGAATTGAAATGAGTGTTAAGATGTGAAATATGACCATTTTGGAAATTTAAAAAGTTGGTGATTAAAATGCAATATTTGTATAATTAGGTTGCTTAAAGTTAATTGTGCCTTTGTAAAAGCACTTGAATGGTAATAATTTCAATGCTGGAATTTTGGTATTAAAAATTTATCTGATAAAATGGTGAATGACCATTTTGTGTAAATTGGAAAAGTTAGTGCCTATATTAAAAGAATTATTGAGTATTGAAGTATTTTGGTAGAGAATATGTTTCAAGTATAATTATGGATTTTGTTTTGGAAATGTGTTTATGATAGTACAATACTAACATATGTATCGATATCAATATGTGTTTTTGAACAGATCATGATTGATTTTGTGATCGAAGAAAGTCAAGTATAAAAGGACTTATTGTGGAACATAGTGAGGCACATCTTTTAGATATATAAAGTGTCAAGGTAAGTGCAATACATGCATGACATTGTACATAGATGTTTTTATACATCATCAGGAAGACTTATGACAAGTCTACGTTGTTTATATCAACATGATATAGTATGTCATTTTTATAACTTTCACATGACATTGATATGTCACAGTGTGAAATTATAATGCATTGATCGCATATAATGTGGTATTTTACCATGGATGTTATTTTGGGTATGAACTGCCCTAATGTTAATTATATGGTCATATGATACCATGGATGAATGAATTAGACTATATTCCGAAGTAAGTCGTTGAATAATAGTGTATAGTTGGCATGCCATAGAGTATAACAACTGTAGGTTTATATTAGCACTATAGTGTGTAAGGACACTAGGTGTATATGGTGGGCACGACCTTATGTGTAAGCACAACGGTGCATATATTACTCGAATACCCAGGGTCTTCATAGGTTTACTTATGGGCTATAATTATTGGTAAAAATGATAATATTTATATCATATCGTTTTGATTATGGTAAAATATTGGACATGCAGATATGTTGAAAACATTTTGATGTTTCGATATAACATATTAAGTGTTATTGAATTTTAAGATTTTATAATCATTTTTAAAGTATATTTGATTAAATTATTCGAATATCAAAATATTACTCCAAGTTTTGCAAAGATCAATTTCAATTCTTACTAAAGTGTAAAATTGTGTTTTAAACTTAAAATATTTTTGAAACAATTTTTGCAAAGTATTTCGATCCAAAATCGAGCCAAAAAACAAGTTTATAAAGGGATGTACCGCTGTACTCCTTGATGTATCGATGCACACCCTAATTCGAATGCTTTTTGTGTACCGATATACATCCATGCATCGATGCACTCCTGATTTTATTGAAACATCGAAAACATTTTATGTACCGATACACAGATAATGCATCGATACACTCTTGGCTCTTTTGAAACATCGAAAACATTTTATGTACCGATGCACAGATAATGCATCGATACACTCTTGGCTCTTTTGAAACATCGAATGTAATTAGTGTACCGATGCACTAGGTCTTATAACAGTCAAAATATTTGAATTTTACACATAGTGTACCGATGCACCTACGCTTCCAACCATATTTTTAAATCATAATTATACAATAACAGCTCTATTAACTTCACCAATGATTCCCAACGTTCAGAAGTGATTCAAGGTATATTTAAACAAGCTAAGGAGCCATTGATCAACAACAACTAAGAAGAGAAGCTAGAGAATCAAAGAGAAATCATTAAACCTCAAGTTTGATCATTTCAAGCCAAATTTTCATTCAATATTCATTTTACTTTCAAGAACACTTATTGTGCTCAATTGTATTCATTTTTTAGTGTTCTTTATTTGTTCTAGAATTGTAAAAACATCTTAACTTTTGAGGTTTTTCTGTAAGTTTGTGAAATTTGTAATATTCTCTTTGGGAGAGAGTGTTCTCAAGAATTTGGGGTATAATTCTTGAGGGAGTGGTAAGGTTACTCTTTATCCTCAAAAGAAATAACAAATTAGTGAATTTGTTGGAAAATCCTTAGTGTGGATAGCCAAGGTAGTGGACGTAGACTTTGGTTGAGAAAGTCGAACCACTCTAAATCACTGTGCAAATATTTTCAATTTTCTGCAAAAACTTCCACCAAAATTTTTATTGCCAATTCACCCCCTATTGGCCAATTAGTCAATAAATTAACTCAACATTTGGTATCAGAGCCTCACTCATTTGAAAGTTTAATCGTCACTTGAGTCGATTCGGGAAGAGTTATATCGATATTCAAGTCATAAATGGCTTCCACTTCGAACATCGACTTTGGTCTTGATTCAATGCCCGTCAACAAGTCTTCATTCTTCAATGGAGCTAATTATGCTTATTGGAAGAATAGAATGAGGTATTTCATTCATGCAAGTGACATAAAAGCATGGAATATCAGAGAAGATGAATACATCATATACCTTCCACTCATTCAAGATTGTGGAGTGAAGGAGAGAAGGGAATATTCTAGCTCAACTCAAAAGCTATCCATATTATATTTTGTGCTCTTGGACAACCGCCAAGGAGATATGGGATAAACTACAAGTCACTCATGAAGGCACAAACGAGGTATGGGATAAACTACAAGTCACTCATGAAGGCACGAACGAGGTAAAAGAATCTAAAATTAGTCTTCTAACTCATAGTTATGAAAATTTCAGGATGAAACCGGATGAGGATATCAAAGATATGACGGATAGATTTTCCACGATTGTCAATGGTCTCAAATCATATGGAGATATCATTCCAAGCAAGAAGCTTGTGAGGAAGTTAGTTTACTCTCTTCCAAAATCTTGGCAATCAAAGAAGACGGCGATCATTGAGGCTAAAAACTTAAAATCTTTGACCCTCGATGAGCGAATTGGTTCTCTCCTTACGCATGAAATGATGCTTTAAGATGAGGTAGACCTCGAACAGACAGACGAGACAAAGAAAGAGACGAAGAAGAAGAAGAAGAAGAAGAAGAAGAACGTTGGAGTTGCTCACAAATCCACAAAGGATGAGAGTGATTCGAATGAATATGACGATGATGAGGAAATGCATTATTTGTCAAGCGGTTCAGAAAATTAATGAAACCCAACAGAGGAAGAAAATTCAAACGAAATGAAGGCTTTAAAAATGAACCAAAGGAAAAAGACTATCATTTGCTATGAATGCAAAAAGTTGGGTTATGTCAAGTACGAATGCCCACAATTGAAGAAGAATGGTCAATCGAAGAAAAAGCACAAGGCACATGTGGCTACATGGATCGATGAATAAGCTTCCGATGAAGAGGAACAAGAAGTAAAAAACTTGTGCTTGATAGCCATCGGAGAAAGCTCTCAGGTAGCCTCTTACTCATCCAATTTTGAATATTATTCTTTTGATGAGATGTTAGAGGAATATACTGGGTTGGCTTCGGATTATGAGAAATTATTTTTAAATTATAAAAATGATATTTCAAAATTGAAAAACGAAAATAATCTCATATCCAAGACCAACATTGAACTTGAAAGTAAAATTAAGGATTTGCAAATCAAACTAGATGAGTTTGAAAATAAAAATAATGATTTGCATAATTTATTTTCAAGAGTAAATGATGATCATCAAAAGAAAAATGATGATCTTAAAGATTCTTTTGATAAAGTTGGAACAAAACGTTTTAAAAATGGAGAAAGTTCAAAATCCAACTTTGTTAGAAAAAGTTTTAAAAAACTACAATCATAGAGGTCCTCGAAGAATCTCTAATGGAAAATCGTTAAAAGTATATGGGTTCCTAATTAACTCATAACTACTAAAGATAAGGATATCATACACAAATGGATACCCAAGGGGACTAGAATTTTAAAAACTAATGAATATGGACCCAAAAGAAATTGGGTACCAAAAATAAAAAATTAATCTATATTTGTAGGGAAATGAGCATTGCTACAAGGCACGAGAAAAAAGTTCAAAGTCATGGTACCTTGATAGTAGATGCTCAAGACATATGATCGGATACAAGAGCCTGTTCATAGAGCTTAACGACAAAAATGGAGGAGAGGTGACTTTTGGTGATAATTCAAAAGGTCACATTGAAGGTATAGGCACTATAGGTAATACCTCTTCCATACAAATTAAAAATGTTTTATATGTGAATGGGTTGATGTTGAGTTAATCGATCGACGAAATAGCCAAGAGGGGGGTGAATTGGCAATAAATATTTTGGTGGAAGTTTTGTAAAAAATAAAAAATATTTGCACAGCGATTTAGAAAGGTTAGACTTTCTCAACCAATGTTTACGCCCACTACCTTAGCTATCCACACTAAGGATTTTCCACAAATTCACTAATTTGTCTTTCTTTTGAGGACAAAGAGTAACCTTATAAATCCCTCAATAATTATACCCTAAATTATTGAGAACATTCTCTCCCGAAGAGAACAATAAAAATTTCACAAACTTACAGAAAAACCTCACAAGGTAAGATGTTTGCATAATTCCAGAACAAAGAAAGAACATTCAAGAATAATACAATTGAGCACAATAAGTGTTCTTGAAAGAAAAAATGAATATTGAATGAAATAGGCTTGAAAATGCTCAAACTTGAGGTTTGATGCTTTCTCTTTGATTCTCTCTCAATTCTTGTTTCTTGTTGTTGATCAAAGGCTCCTAAGCTTGTTTAAATACACCTTCAATCATTTCTGAATGTTGGGGATCATTGGTAAAGTCCATAGAGCCATTAATGAGTAATTAGCATTTAAAAATCTGATTGGGAGCATGGGGATATCGGTACCCCTCCATAGGGTATCAGTACCTATAGTGTAAAATTCAAATATTTCGACCGTTATTTGACTAGGGGTATCGGTACCACCAGGGGGTATCGGTACCCGTCGAGCATTTTGTTTTTCTCAGAGCCAAAACTTGCATAGGGGTATCGGTACCCTATGAGGGGGTATCAGAACCCTATGGATAATCTGGTTTTTCTTGAAGCCCTTTTGTAAGGAAAATATTTTTGGCTAGGTTAAGGCTCGAAATACTTTGTAAAATTTGTTTCAAAAATTATTTTAAGATTAAAACACAATTTTACACTTAAGTAAGGTTTGAAATTGACTTTTGAAATCCTTGGAGTAATATTTATGATATTCGAATAATTAAATCGAATATACTTTGAAAATGATAATAAAATCTTAAAATCCAATAACACTTAATTTGTTATATCGAAACATAAAAATATTTTTCAACAATCTCCCCCTTTTTGATATAACAAAACATTTGAGTAATTTTAAGATTTTCTTAGAAAAATCAATTTTGTAAAATTTTTACTCCTCCTTATTGTAACACTTTTTCTCCCCCTTTTTGTTAAATAAAAAAGACTCTATAAAACAAGATTTTGTAAAACTTATCCAATTGATTTTAAATAAATATAGCTTAGCTGCTAAGATCAAAATCAAGAGAAATGTTAGCCATTAGTTTCATAAATCAATATTCATTAATAATGTGCAATGGTAAATTGGTCATATTAATCTAAAATGTAGATGATGCAAAAATTAATAAGCATAAAAATTCAACCAACCCATATATATAAATATAAGCATGTAAGTTCAAACATCCAAAAATAAACTTAAATATTCAAACATCCAATCCAAAAACATCAAAAGGTTTTAACAATCCAAAATATAAATCCTAAGTTCAATCCAAGCAAACAGAGCATAGCAAGGTTAGATCTAATCCATACGAGGATCGGGAGGAGGAGGACGATAACGTGCTCGCATCTCGAGTATGACCACATCTAAGCATTCGTTCATCTCCCGTTGTTGAGCCCCCATAGAAGTTAAGTGGAACTCTATGGATGCAAACCTTAGATCAAATGTCTCCATAAACGATAAAAAATATGGAGGCATTTGATCATCTTGTTGTGCTGGCTCATTGTCAGGAAATTCATCGTCAATATCTTGCATAAGTTGTTGAAGTTCTGGATCATCGTCCGCTGCCGGTACCGGTGGAGGTGGAGCTCGTGAAGAACTAGCTCCCGGTGTTTGCTCGGTGGATCGAACCCATTGATCACCTTCCTTCTTCCATCCCGATTTCTTTAAGGATGTCGATTTGGTTTTTGAGAGGGATGGCTACATCAAGCCATACTCTAAGCTCGGCTTTGATAAACAAATTACTCAGAAGACAACCGTAAACTAGAGTTTCACAAACTTTCTTATTAGGGACAAGGTTTACGGTTTCAACGAGTTCGGAAAAAATAATCTCAGGTAAGTTTATTTTCTTATTATTTTGGATACAATGTATCCACCAAAGGTCTAAAGCTCTAAAAGTGGAGTATTTATCTTTGGATGGTCGAAACCACCAAGAGATTATTAGATGAAAAAAATAATCTTGATGATCTAACACACTTGCACTAGACCTTACCTTATAAGGAGAACTTATTGTTTCCTTTTCATTATCAATCCGTCATTATCTAATCCAAATGCGTTAGCAATGTAGGCCGAGTCAATATAAATGAATTTACCTAAAAGATAGGATTGAATTCCTATTGTTTTGATTCTAGCTCGGTTTTGGATACAAACGACATTTAAATAGAAAATTCGAACAAGTTATTGGTAAACTACTGGTTTGAGATGAAAAAGTTTATCAAATTTACAATCTTGAAGAGTAGGAAGATATCGAAAGTTTATTGCTTCCATAGCTAGAAAGGAAGGAATACGTTCTTCCCGAATTTTTTAAGACTCGAAGAGATAGAAAAACCTATGGTAAAGATTATCCCTACGGCCAGGTTCACTAAAACACGAGTTCTGAATTGTCATTTTGTGTTCATCGGGATTAGGATTTGATTGGATAGGAGGTGGAATTGGAGATGAGTTTGGTGGTCGGTTTGAACGACTAGTGGATGGCCTATGATGTTTATGAGACATGGTTCAAGAAATTGGAATAGGATATATAAACCTACAATTTTAAAACATATGTATGCAATATAATCAATCCCCAAACTCAAATGAATCCTCAATATTTCAAGGTTCTCTAAAATAATCCTAATGGGAAATTTTGAAAAACTATGTTTTAAAATAATGTTTGAAAATAAATATGTAGTATTCAAAGACAACATAATTAAATCAAAAACAACAATTTTAAAATCAAAACAAATATTTTTTTATTATTTCAAAATTTTCATAAAATTTTGAAAAATCTTATGTTTTTGATGAAATTAGTTGTAGATTCTTGTTTTAAATCAAAATCTAAGTAATGCCCGATCATTATTTCAACCTATAAATAATCAAAACTAGTCATAAGTTAAAAAATCAATAAAATAGAGATTTTAGAAAAGTTACCTTGAAAGATGAAGACTGAGTGGATTTTGATGATGTTTGCACAAAATTAATTATGCTAGCAGGTTTAAGAGTTGAAAACTGAGTGAAATCCGACTTAAAATTGTTGTTTTTAGGAAATGTTGAGATTAGGGGTGAGAAAAGGGGCGCACGGTGAGTGTTTAGAGAGAGAGATTAGGGTTTTAGAATAAATGAGGTTTTGGTGATATAAAAACCAGAACCCGAAGGGAGTATCGATACCCATTCAAGAAGGGTATCAGTACCCATTCAACGGGGGTATTGATACCTAGTGCACACAAAAGTTAAAAATCTATGTTTAAACACTCAAAATGCTAAATTAATCTGCTCTAGTGGTATTGACAACTCATATTACGAAAATTAACTACGTTCAATCAATCAAATCTATGCTTAAACATTATTTGAACATATAATTAATCTTCACTAAGAATCATAAACTCCCTCGAACAAATATAAATGAATGCAATCAAAAGTATTATTTTTATAATCATTTTACAAAACTAATTAAAAGTGCTACAATTTTTAAACATTAAGACAAGGTAGGTTGGTCAAACCTAATTCTCTCCTAAGTGTCCAAAATCTTTCTTTATCTAAAGGTTTTGTAAAAATATCTGCTAATTGGTACAAAGTATCAACAAATTCTAGAACTACATCTTCTTTAGTGACATGATCTCTAATGAAATGATGTCTAATTTCAATGTGCTTAGTTCTAGAGTGTTTGATGGGATTTTTAGTGAGACAAATGACACTAGGGATGGCAATGGGTCGGGTCGGGTTGGGGTTTTTAGGCCACCCGACCCGACCCGAGAATAAAGGGTTTTTCACCCGTGACCCGACCCGACCCGACGAAATTAAGGTTTCACCCGACCCGACCCGACCCGAATATATGACTTAGAAACCCGACCCGACCCGACCCGACCCGAAATAATAATAAAAAAAAATTTATTCAATGAAAACAGTGACTTAATTGAAAAAAATTATATATGGAGGGACATTATTGTAATTATCCCTAAATATATAGGATAAAATTATATATATTTTTCGAGTCGGGTCGGGTCGGATTTTTTTCACCCTAAACCCGACCAGACCCGAACCCGAATTTTTTTTAAAAAAATCCGACCCGATCGGGTTGGGTCGGGTCGGAACCCGTCGGATTCGGGTTGAGTTGCCATCCCTAAATGACACTAGTATTGTCACACTTGATAGGTATAGTACCTACTTCAATTCCATAATCTAAAAGTTGTTGTTTCATCCATAAAACTTGTGCACAACAACTACCTTGTAACATCTTCAATACCGGGTTAGTGACTAAATTGTAAAACTTTAGAATTTGGTAATTAAAGCAGAATAATTGAATAGTGTTTTAATTTGGTATAGGGTTAATTACAAGGAAGATGAAATTGAAGGATAGAATGGTCATTTGCAAGGAAATAATTAAAGAATGGATATATATATTAGCTACACGTGGAAAAGAAGGAAGCAAAACACAAGGTTCCAGAGTTCTCTTATTCTCTTCTTTCTCCACACGTGAAGAGGTCAAACAAAGGTGAGATTTCTTATGAGCTAATTGTTTGATGAAATTTACGTTTGGTTTTGCTCTTTAGATGCTAATTAAGCTTAAGGAAAGCTTAATTTTCTTTAAAGCAACAAGATGAAGGGTGTAGGAAGGATTAAAGATTAGAAGTTCTTGAATGGAATTTTTAAATAGAGTTCATATTTGAAATCAGAGGTTGAATTTGACTTGTCATCGAATTAATTAAGACATACGAAGTGTTAAAATTAGATTTAGAACATGTTGGAAATTGAGGTAGATTCTTGAAATCTATGTGGAGGATTGGATTTTTAAGTTTAAGAGGTATTGAATGTGTATTAATTAGTTTAAATAGGTGTATGCAAGTTAAGGATATAAAAAGAGGGGAAATATAAAGTGTTGAGAAGATTATGAAGAGATTTTCGTGCTAAAATAACATTTATGGGCTATGTGCATCGATGCACATTCAATGTGTACCGATGCATCAAAGGTAAAATCCCAGAAATTATTCAAGATGTATCGATGCACATGAAGTGTATCGATGCATTCCTTTAAAATAAAAACATCGAATGTCGCACCCGCTTAAAATACAA